CACGTGCTTCCCATCAATGGCACCAACACAATTTGGAAAGTTCCAGATCTCCTGAAACTCAGCAGCGATGGCTCTCCAGTCCTCCATCTGTGGTACCGGCATGGTCTCCTCAACCAGGGCGGTCCAGATGGCACCCGCAACCTCCCTGACGATGACAGCCACTGTTATATGACCAACCCTATAGCTGAATGCTATGGTCCTGTATGAGTCACCGGTTGCCAGGTACCTGAGAAAAAAAGTAATATACATGATTTAAAAAAATAAAACAATTTCAGACCCCACACATGCACACACACCACAGACACACACAGACCACAGACACACACACATACCACAGACACACACACAGACCCCACACAGACACACACACACACACACACACACAGACACAGGGGAGCAATACTGTGTTAACCTAGCTATCTTAATTAATGTTATCCATCTGAACTAAATCACAGACTTCATTCATCATTCATCCATGGCATGCATTCTCTCTCTTTCTATACAGAGTCAGATTAAAGAAGTAGAAATACACAAAACATACCGTAGGCAGATGGCGAGTCGCTCGGCGGGTCCGATTGACAAACGCATGTTGGTGTCCGCCTTTGTTATCAGTGGACCCACTTTGCCGAGCAACTCGTCGAAATGGCCTTTGCTCATTCTGAAGTACTGCAGAAACAGTTCGTCATCCAGACGGAGCTCTTGGACCAGAACGTGGTATTCTCCCCGTTGCAGACGTTTTCGGAGTATCGGATGTACCCAACAGCGACGCACACGACGTCGCCTCCCGAGATACAATGCATATACCAATGCCACCCTTGCTACCAAACCGGCATCCATTTTGGCTAGAGTGGATAGAAGAACCGGGCTTTTTTGCTTTGTATGTCCGGGGCGGGATATTCATGTGATTGGTTGTTGGTCGCGTTGCTCGCGGAAACTCCCCAAGCTCAAGACACGCCCACCGCCAAGCGGCAACGCACGCCGCTGTATGTAGGCTGCGTAAGGGGAATACTTACTTCCGGGTGTACAATTCTCCGTTATCCAATGGGAATGGACGCTCACATTGCCTTTAACAGCCTCCGACACAAACGAATGCCGTGCTTCCCTAAGCGTCAAATACCGACGCCGATGGGAATACATTGCAATCAGTTGAAAGCTCTTTGCGTCCGTTTATGAAGCTGAAGGAGCCTCGGCGCGTCACAACTGGACGCCACGGGACCCTGACCAAGCGTCGCTCCTGGACGCTTAGGGAGTGAGAGTGTGTTGATGAAGCATATTAACAGCAATGTGCCAAAACACATGCGAATGAAGAGAAATCTACACCAACCTGACGAGACATGAGCAGGGTTTACTAAAAGAGCTGCATCAGCTAAAAGGTGTTCACGTGTTTTTCCGCAAAAGAAATCTGAACACACATTTTTAAAACACTTGTTTTTAATAAACATTAATAGAAGAAAGCAGCTCATTGTTGTACGTTCTTATACGACTTGCATGAGATATAATTAGAAGTTAATATATAATTAGAAGTTAATTAGTTGGACATATACAAGCAGTTAAGCCACCATGATACATTAGATGGGTGTTTGGCTGATGTGGGGGATGTAGAGACAATTATTATTGGAGACTGGAACACGGATATGCAACGTAAAGACACGTCCGTCTTCAAGTCCTTCAGTAGGATTTGTGATCTGCACGGCTTCAGCCAGCTAATCACCCAACCCAGGTTTGTGTTGTATGTGAAACAACACAAACTACCATTGATCTCATTCTGACCTCTGACAGGTCCAGGATCTCCAGTAAAGGGGTTATAGCATGCGGTTTAAGTGATCATTATATGATATTCTGTACCCGCAAAAAGCTAAACAAAAGGCCGGCTGTCACAAAACAGTCATATCTAGAGACCTCAAAAACTACTCTAGCGAGGCCTTTAACCTAGAACTGGAGAGCCTGGACTGGTCAGATGAGCTCAGTGGTACACAAGTTGAAGAAATATGGCTTGGTTTCAAAAAGAAATTCACTGCAATACTCAATGATTTGGCCCCCCTAAGAACAACCAGGGTAAAAAATCGCGCTGAGCCGTGGATGCACTCCGGCATACTGACCGCCATGAAAACCAGAGACAAAAAATGCTCTGAGTTTCATAAAAGTCAGTCAATGCTTTCCAAAAGCACGAGCAGTGAACTCCAGGCCCACGTGACTGAACTAAAAATTGAAAGAAACAGACTAAGAAATGACGTAAGCTCCATGATCAAAATTGCCAAAAAGAATTTCATCAATGTCAAAACTGAGGAAAACAAAAATAAACCCTGTGAACTTTGGAAATTACTCAATAACCAGCTTGGCTGCAGTAAAAAACTCAAAACGAGATTTTCAAACTTAAACATAAAGACAGATAACAGGCTCATCACAGACAAACTGGATGTGGCCAAGTACTTGACATTTTTTTTCACAAACATAGCCACAACTCTTGTAAATAAATTACCCTCCCACTCAGGGCTTTTTGGAGTGGATCACATCATGACCTACTACAAAAACCTAGGGGTACGCAAAGATGATTTCAGTCTAGCAAGGGTAACAACAGCAGAGGTACTCATTAAACTGAGCGCCCTCAAACCTAACACGGCCACTGGCCACGACAATATCCCCTCCAAATTCCTCAGAGACACAGCAACCGCCATCTCACCAGTCATAGCTCACATAATTAACCTCTCCATAAAACAGGGAAAAGTACCCAAAGACTTCAAAATTGCAAGAGTAACCCCCCTGCACAAAAAGGGCAGCAAATTGGACCCAGGCAACTACCGCCCTGTTTCTATACTTACCTCCATCTCGAAAGTCATGGAAAAAATAGTATATGAACAGGTCGAAAAGTACCTCGCGGAAAAGAAACGAATCTATGAATTTCAATCTGGCTTTAGAACATCCCACTCCACTGACACATGCCTTCTTTATTTGAACGACCACATCAAACAAGAAGTGGACGAGGGTAAATACTGCGGCATGGTGATGCTGGACCTACAAAAGGCTTTCGACACTGTCAATCACCCCATTCTGATTGACAAGCTTAAAGCAATTGGTTTTGATAAACTATCGGTGAGCTGGATGCAATCCTACCTGGAGGGGAGAGAACAGATGGTGGAGGTAAACGGTACTCTGTCCCCCCCCCTCCCAGTGAGCTGTGGTGTTCCACAAGGAAGCATATTAGGTCCGTTACTGTTCCTAATTTATGCAAATGACATGTCATCAGCATGTGACTGCAACTTGTTCCTGTTCGCGGACGACTCAGCCCTGCTGGTCTCTGACAGGAGCAGATTGCAGGTTGAAAAACCCTCAGCTCCGAGCTCGGCAGAATCTGCAACTGGCTCGCCGATAATAAATTATCATTACACCTGGGTAAAACAGAGTCCATTCTCTTCGGTTCGAAACATAATCTCAGCAAATCCGACGACTTCTCAGTTGCAGTGGGTGACATTATTGTCACAAGTAAGAAGGAAATTACATACCTAGGATCTATTCTTGAGGAAAACCTCTCCTGTGACAAAATGGCATCCAATGTAATAAAAAAAGTCAATCAAAGAACTAGATTTCTATACCGGATCTCCTCTCTGGTAAACAAAAACACCCTGAAAACTCTGGCAGGAGCACTCATTCAAGGGTACTATGACTATGCCTGCACGTCATGGTACCATAGCACCTCCAAGGCGCTAAAAATAAAACTTCAAACATCGCAAAATAAACTGGTCAGACTACTGCTTGACCTTTCATCTAGAACCCACCTCACCTCTGCCCACTTTGACAACCTAGGATGGCTTAGAGTAGACGACAGAGTACAGCTACTTGCAATGGGCCTGGTCTACAAGATCCACTACACCTCTATGGTACCCATGTACATGTCAAAATTCTTCCCAAAGGTCAAGGAATACCATGATCATAACACCAGAGGGAGCTCCACAAATCATGTAAAACCCAGATTTGGCACAAAAAAGGGGGAATACACGTTTCGCAATTATGCCACATCAAGGTGGAACGCTCTTCCCACAACTGTAAAGGAAAGTAAAACTATACTTACCTTCAAAACCTCTCTTAAAGAGCACCTTCGGGGGAGAGCATTGCAAAACTGGCCCCGGTAGTGGTACAAATCTCAACCTGTCGTACAATGGACAGCTTCCCCCCCCCATCTATGTATATACTCGCATTTTAGACTCTGTTACTAACTGTATATCTGTAGACTTGGTATGTCTTAAATGTCCGGTTAGGATGTATTAGAACGAAATCTAAAATGAAAATTGTAAATAAGCCATCTGTATGTAAAAAACCACCTGTATGTAAATTGTAAATAAGCCATCTGTATGTCAAATATGTCTTATATGTCTTAAATGATATGATGAATTGGAAATGGGGGACCCTGATGTAAACAAGACGAAAGTGTTTCTCTGGTCTGCATCCCCTTAACAATTGTATGTTTTGAGCTGTACTGTACCCACTATACAAGCTGTTAATAAACTTTTCAATCAATCAATCAATCAAACCAGACTACTGAGCATTTCCCTCTGATATGCCCTATTTCTCTGAGTCCTGAGGTTGTGTTTTAAGCTCTCTTGGTTATAAATGTGTGTGAAACTGATACTGAGAAAGAGCACTGTGCAAACTCTCCCTGAGCGGATTATGAGAAGTATGTGGCAGGATGATTGTGTGGTGATGTAAAGAAATGGAGATGGTGACTTCATGTGTTCATCTCACCAGCTGGCAGCATCAGCTGTTACACACTCATCACACAGTACAAGACCTGAGTACTTCTCCCACCTCTGAATACTTGAGTAAATGTACTTTTCACCACATCCGAGGTGAGGATGGGTTCACAGTTCTATGTGTGTTTGTTTGTTCGGCCCCTACGTGCCGCTGTTCTTCCTCTGTAGGCGGGGTCTAATTCACAAGAAGGGGGTTTGATGAACTGGAGCATTACAAAATACAAATAACAGCAGTAGTAGCACCGGAGACGCGACTGAAACGTGTTCGGGAGATCCGGGCACTCCTTGATGAAAAATTAGAAAAAATAAAATAATTTTATACATTTTAGTTGACGCATTTTCATTGGACACGTTACGTTCTCGACGTAGCGGTGCGTCAAACAAAGCGAACCCTTTATAACAGTTTCAGCTAGTCCTCGCCTCACTAACCGTTTTTATTTCTCTAAAAGAGGAGACTTTTTTTAGGCTAATGTTACTCTAAATCAACGGAACAACCAGTTTATCATCAACATAAGGTAAGTGTTGTTATTTTAACCTACGTTTTCTTTAAGATTTAACCCAGTCTGCCATGTTTAAATCGACAATAATCTGGAGATGAATTGATGATAAAACAGTAATCTGCGTAGTTACATTTTGCAGCAGTCCATTAAAATAAAGTGCAGTGTAAAACCAAGACATGTGTCTCTCTCATGTGTGTTTCTTTACCTAGAAGGATGATTTTAAATAAGTTAAAGTAACACTAGTAAATTACATTTGTTGTGGAGTTAGCAGTTTGTGTTGGATAGTGTTGACACTATTTAAATCAAGAGTTCACGTTGTTGTGTGGCAGTTCGATCAATGTACACTTTTCTTTTCTCAAGAAAGAGGGTGAGCTAACCATCAGTGTGGGTGATGCACAGTGTGGGTGACCAGTGGCGTAGCCAGGAATTATTGTGTGGGTGGGCCTGGAGAAATGTAGGTGGGCCAGGGGGGAGACTTATTAAGCGTGGGGTCTGAGCTGAAACTTCATTAATGATTTTAATGATTTTTTAATGCACTAATTGAACATAAGCATAAACTAGCAGTGAAAACAAAAACATAGGCACGGCGGCCTCAGAATGTGTGTACAACTGACATCCACATGACTAGGGATGGGTATCGTTAAGGTTTTAACGGTAGGCCTACAACTACTTTTATCGATACCGCTTATTGATCCGGTGCTTTAACGGTACTTTTATCGTTTTTTTTTGAGAAAAAAATAAGGTAAACTAACTAACACAAATTGTGAACAAAACTATCATTGCTTTTTATTTTAATTAAATACATATTTCACATCAAAAGAAACAACAATGTTTTAACAAATCGTATTAAATAATCTGATGACAGAACTGTAAACAGAATAGCTGAAACTTTAACAAAATAAATAACTCTAAATTACCTCTAATCATTAGCCCATGTTTGTATAATTGAGTTAACTCTGTGTGTTGCTGCTAGCATACATAACACCTGACGTGGAAAAGTTACTCGTGGATGGGGCTACAGAGCTACTAGAAAGACAGTCGAACCCGGTGCATTTCTCCGTTTGAATGTGGTACACTTTTACAAGATGTTTAGACAAATTGCTCGTGTTACTGCCCTTACATGCTAAACTCTTATTGCACTTTTGGTAACGAGCATTGTCCACATCGAACAGGTAAAGTTTAACCACACCTCGGAGCGCGTTCTCTCCGCCATCTCCTCCGTGTGTGTGTGTTGCTGCATGTAGCAGCTGCGTGTGTGTAAACTGCCCCGCCCCCTCGCACACAGACGGGGGAGAGAGATCTCTCGTCTGGATTGGAAAGATCGAAAATACTAAAAATAATCATAGACGCATTTTGCTGTCTTTTGCATATTAGAAACAGAGTTGGCGACACTAAAACTGCAATATAATGTTTGTGTAGCAATAATACATATTAGATATATTTTTTACATGTCTCAAGTACCGACCGATAACGTCGGAGCTTAATGGTACCACGGTCTTTAATAATTCAGCCCTGGGGCTCGGTACCCATCCCTACACATGACTGGCTCGGCGGCCACAGGTTGTTTATCCTTGACAGTCGCACAGTGGGCACACACTGAGAGTTTTCATATTCAGCAAATGTGTACACGCTTCACTGCAGACCTCAAGAAGAAATAAGACTTTTGTTTACTCACGGCAAAACCTACTTTACTTACTAATTTACTCACGGTAAAAAAATGCACTCCCTATTCCATTGTCATGAAGGTGGAATCTAACTATATCCAGAATAAGTTTGATTGGATCCAAGCTAGAAACATGTTTATTTCTGCTGTAAGTTGGGCATTTTAACATGGGGGTCTATGGGAATTGCTCCTTTCTGCATCCATCCCCTGTTGGCCACTAGAGGAACTGTAGTTTGTGGCACTTCCTTCTGGGCTTCCCGGCTCTGCGCTATAACGCGCTGATTGGCTGTGGGTGGGCCAGACGTGCATGTGGGTGGGCCCAGGCCCACCCGGGCCCACCCACAGCTACGCCACTGGGTGATGCACAAAGTGGGTGATGCACAGTGTGGGTGATGCACAGTGTGGGTGATGCACAGTGTGGCTGATGCACAGTGTGGGGGGTGATGCACAGTGTGGGGGGTGATGCACAGTGTGGGGGTTGATGCACAGTGTGGGGGGTGATGCACAGTGTGGGTGATGCACAGTGTGGTGATGCACAGTGTGGGGGTGATGCACAGTGTGGGTGATGCACAGTGTGGGTGATTGCACAGTGTGGGGGTGATGCACAGTGTGGGTGATGCACAGTGTGGTGATGCACAGTGTGGGTGATGCACAGTGTGGGGGGTGATGCACAGTGTGGGGGGTGATGCACAGTGTGGGTGATGCACAGTGTGGGTGATGCACAGTGTGGGTGATGCACAGTGTGGGGGGTGATGCACAGTGTGGGGGGTGATGCACAGTGTGGGGGGTGATGCACAGTGTGGGGGGTGATGCACAGTTTGGGTGATGCCAGTGGGGTGATGCACAGTGTGGGTGATGTGCACAGTGTGGGGGGTGATGCACAGTGTGGGGGGTGATGCACAGTGTGGGGGGTGATGCACAGTGTGGGTGATGCACAGTGTGGGGGGTGATGCACAGTGTGGCTGATGCACAGTGTGGCTGATGCACAGTGTGGGTGATGCACAGTGTGGCTGATGCACAGTGTGGGTGATGCACAGTGTGGCTGATGCACAGTGTGGGTGATGATGCACAGTGTGGCTGATGCACAGTGTGGCTGATGCACAGTGTGGGTGATGCACAGTGTGGCTGATGCACAGTGTGGGTGATGCACAGTGTGGCTGATGCACAGTGTGGTTAACCTCGAATCGTATTAAGCAGGAACCACTGAGAAACCAGCTAGAGATGTGGTGGCTTTTGCAATTTCTTCCATTTCAATTGGTCTGATGCAAACAATTGATGAAGAAAGCTTTATAAAGAATGACATTGCCAAGAATGTAGATTTATGTTTTATTTAAATTATTACTGAGAAATTCAAGCATGCACTTTAAATTGTGCTTAGGGCAATCACAGGAATATCACAGGAGCGTTTTAAATTTGCCGTACTTCTTCAGACTTCTCTGGTGAAAGTCTGGTAAATACTGCTTACATAAAGACCAACTTAAAGCTAATGTGCAAAAGGAAACACTATTTTCTTCTGTGTGTATTCATTGATTTTATTTGTTATATCTCTGTGTCACATTAAACCTCTGCAGCCGCATCAAGTTCATGTGACTTTAACACTCATAACACCCTTTTCCTCATTGTTCCCTGTCTCTGACACGAGTGACAAAGAAGTCTGATCTATTTCTTCACTGTTTGTTTTAACACCGAGGTATTGTTTCTTTGTTACAGATGGATCTGTGGCTTCTTTTAATAGCGGCGTTATCCGCGGTCCTCAGTGGCAGCTGGGCGCAGCAAGGTGAGAACAAAGAGAAGTTTGAATCCTGCTCTTTTTCTCTTATCTTTACTGTTAAAGGTCACCTATAATGCAAAATCCATGTTTTCATGTCTTTTCTACATCAACATGTGTCCCCTCTGTGTAAAGAGATTCTGAAAGTTTCAGGAAAAAAGTTTCTCTCTCTTTTTACGAGGTGAAGTCATCACTTGGTGAGCTGCCTGGAGCTTCTCTCAGCATGACTCAATGCTCCCAAATGGGGAGGAGGTTGTGTCCTGCAGCCCAAAAACCAAAGCTGTTTTGAGTTAGTGAACTAATGGAAACATTCTTGGTTGTCATGTTGGCTAAGAGGAACCCGTGTTTTGTCTTTCAGAGGGGAGCGTATGCATCAAAGCCAATGCTCAGTCCTGTGGGGACTGTATCCAGGTCGCTGAGTCGTGTGGATGGTGCGGAGATGAAGTGAGTTCAATCAATTCATCTGCTACCAAAGTGTTTTATCATATGAACGGTAGCTCAAGTCCAACAAAGGCTTCATTTCATCCCCTCGTTCCCCTGCATTTCCTGTCCGTCTCTCTCACTAAATAAAGCATAAACAGTCTTGAACAAAATACACAAAATACATTTAAGTTGTCTAGAATGTTCAATAACTGTGTGTGTGGCCTGTACAAAGTTTATGGTTTATGTGGCAGCGTTGATTAATGGTTAACTTTCCCAAAAACGTCTAACTAACACAGCTGGGAGTCATCATCTTGTGCCTTTACATAATACAATAAATATAAATGATGTGTTTTTACTGTCACCATCGCCAGCTATTCCAAATGTCTGCATGCAACAGGCCGGAGTCACAGTGTGTTATTTAATACAAATGCAATCCAAATATACTATGATTCAATACAATGTGTTTCATAATTATCATTTTGAAAAAGGGAGGAAGGGTTTGAAGGTAAGAGAAAAGGTTGTCCTTGTTTCCTAAAATACATTTTCGTAGTATTTAAATGTGTGTTTATTTATATACATGCACATATATTCTTCTTGCACTATAAGTAAATGCTTCGTTCTTTCTCTTGCCGTTCTCCCAAAGTGAGTTATCCCTGACTCGTCTATTAATCGTAAACAGAAGCTGCTTCTTGTCTCAAAGTGGAAACTTAGTCTGGATAATCCTCGTTAATTAGACGTTGTCTGTACCCAGAGTCAACAGACCACAAATGTATGTTTACTCCTTCACAGCTAGAGCTTATTTATCAGTGTGGCTGCTACAAAGTGCAGGACAAATTAATTAATGTTTTTTATGTCATGCTGTGCCACACATTTCTGCAAAAAAAGGCATCTTTGCAAAGCTACTTGAGGAGCATGAGGTTCACATGAGTCAGTATAAATGTGTATCATCAACGATAACACTAAACATAAAATAATCAATATGAAAAATATGAAATTCAACCAGTAACAAGGCTATTTAATCCGGTGGTATCAGCAGCAGTCATTCTGATAATTTAATGTGCAACCTATTTTGATTTTGTTTTTGTTTCCGTATCACATGATTTACCTCCTCAAAATATTATCTGAAAGCTTCAGTTGTCATCCCCTAATATCATAAACCAAGTAATGGTATATACAAATGTACTTGTTTATCCAAAACAGTGATACTTAATTGGTCAGTCTCGCCTTGTGAGTCAGTACTTTGAGTCTATTGGTGATAGCAAAATCTCTCTGGTTTCGGGGTATTTTTTCTCAGTTTTGCATTTTTCAAGCCACAGCTGCATTCCTGATAATTCTTGCCAGTATTTGTCTGTCATGCTGACTTATATTCTACACAGAAATTGTGAATTAACAACATGACTGCGCATTTTTAAGTGTTTGGTGGCTGAAGATGATATATCTTGTTGGAGTAGAATACCTCTGCTACGCGCCGTTCGTTGGATGAGGCTGGATCTCTATTAAATTAAGAAAGGAATTGAAAACACCGGAATCAAAGTTATAACAAATTATCTGAGTTTACTTCTAGTAGGAAACCAAACACATATACAAGTTATACAGAGTACTCCGGGTACCCCGGGCTTTTAGGTCTGTGATGCGAAGCGGATAAATGTGTCGGGATCAAACCAACTCATCAAACCAAAAAGAAATTGGACTTCAGGTCTGTGATGCGAAGCGGATACAGATATCGGGATCAAACCACTCACCAAACCCAAAAGCAATTTTACACACACAAACATCAGTATTTCTATCTGTCTTTGGGGCGGAGATTTGTCGATTCTTCCTCCCACTTTTCTCCCAAGCGAATTAGAGAACCCCTGGGGAGGGAGCTGTTTAAGCTGACCACCTCCCCCAAGTGTCCTGACTGGCTGGATTCCCTTCTGGTCTGGTTCAATCAGAGTTCGGACCATAAAGTTCCATAAGGTCAAAAGTCAACCTCTATCTGTGATTAGAATCTTAACTTCATTTCTTTCCCATGAGTTCTCCACATATTTAACGATGTCTTTTAACGACTTAAAAACAGCACCTGGTCTTAGCGGTGATAAGGAGGATGTAATGTTGTCTTTAACGACCTCAATGACGACATCTGCTTTTAGGAGTGAACTCAAGGTTGGTGTGTGAAAACAGAATCTCTAGGTCAGTGAGTTTAAAAGTGAGAACAACATTCCTATATATATGATTACCCATAAACCGTTGTGATTACATAAAACAGTTCAAACAATACATGTTTACTTCAATACAGTGTAGAATCATATCTTCTTACTTCAATCTGCATCGCTGAAGTACATTTGGTTAAGTCTTTGGACAGTCAGAGGACGTGTGATGTTAATAATGAACCCCCAGGGGGGAAACAAGATGGCGGCGTAGAGAAGAGACGTGTTTCATTGAGCTCCGGCTATAACTGTTAAATAATCCGTTTATTAATCACATTTCATGGCGAAATTATCATAGTTTATGATCGCTGTTACTATATAATGACCCTGGAGTACTACTTTTCAAAAACTTCGGACAACATGACCAGACAAAAGAAAGCAAAGACGACCGAGACGGAGGACGAGGAGCATGGCGGGGTAGCACAAGCTAGCGCACCTGAACATGCTAGCAGCAGCAGTAACACGGATCCAAATATTCTAAAAGCAATGGACAACATTACAGAAAACATAACTAAGGTTCTCAACGCTAAAATAGACACAGTGCTTGCAGCCATAAAGGATCAAACAACTCAAATTCAGGCGCTTGGAGCCCGTGTTTGCGAGGCTGAGGACAGAATTGCAAACGTGGAAACTGCGGCTGATTCGTTACAGTCTAAAGTGACTCGTCTGGAGAAGCAGGTGAGCGGAATGCTGGAGCACATCGATGATTTGGATAACCGAGGACGGAGGTGTAATGTACGTTTGGTTGGACTACCGGAGGGTACAGAAGGACCGGATCCTGTCAGATTCATTGAAAAGTGGTTACCAGACTATCTTAAAATGACGACCAGGAAGGGGAGAATCAAGCTGGATCGTGCACACCGCTCCATGGCACCGAAGCCTGGCCCCGAACAACGCTCCAGGCCGATCATACTGAAGTTTCACAACTTTGCCGACAAACAACTGGTTATGAATGCTGCCCGCAAGCTTGGTTCAGAGACGGGCCACCTCGCCCACACGGGTCCAAGGATTTCCTTCTTCAATGACTTCTCAGCGGCCGTGGTAAAAAAACGCAAAGCCTTCGATGAGATTAAATACCGGCTGAGGAAAAAGAGTATCGATTATGCGCTGATATACCCGGCAACGCTCAAGGTGATGATCAACGGCACGGAAAGGAGGTTCGATACACCGGAGGGTGCCGCGGCATTTGCTGAATCGCTTGATGGAACCAACTGAAACATATACCCCAATGCTGGACAATTCAGTTCTTGCAAAGAATAATAAGCGGGCACTGATAATTTGACTTGAGGAAGATGGGTATTGTTTTTGATACTGCTGGGGAAAACACTGCGGTGCGCAGACTGCTGATCCGCAGCTGGGACTTTTACGCGAGTGATGTTACTGCCTCTGATAACTGACTGGACTGTAACACCCGAGGTTGGAAAATTCGTCTTTGTGGTCTAATGTTGTGAAGTAAGTACTCGCATAATTCCATGGCGTTGTTTTGATTTTGTTTCTTATTTAACTTGCCATGTTATGTTGCCGTGTGCGAAATGAAACTTGTTCTGTTTCTATGGATAGGCGTGAGTATAACGCTTGGTTTGTTCCATGGCTTTCGGCTGTGGGAAGGAGGAAGAGTGAGATTCCCTACACGCTTAGTAGGGACTTTTCCCCATTTCTGTTATGTGTTAGTTTAGTATTTGATGTGCTTTGTTTAGTTTGTTGTGTTACACAGCTCAGTCACTATATCATTATGTTTATTGAGGAGATGGTGTCAGGACATTCCCAGTCATATAACTACATAAAAAGTTTAGATAATGGCAAATAAACTTAGGATTTGTACATGGAACATACGAGGGATTCATAGCCCCATAAAACGCAGAAAAGTATTTTCCTTTCTGCAGAAGGAAAATATAGACATTGCATTAGTCCAAGAAACTCACCTTGATGACACAGAACACTCAAGGCTTCAACATGGAGCATATGGGCAAATATTCTATTCATCATTTACAACTAGAAGTAGGGGTGTCGCTATACTTATTAAACGGAATCTGCCCTTTAAAATTGTAAAATGTATAAAAGATAAGAAGGGTCGGTATGTGATAATTAAGGGCAGTTTACAAGGGCAAGATATTCTTATTATGAATGTTTATCAACCGCCAGGTCACCCACCAGATACCGTTACTAATATGTTTATGGAACTTGCAGAAATGACAGCTGATACAGTCATTGTAGGAGGTGATTTTAATTGTATAATGAACCCACTAATAGACAGGTTCCCCCATAGCACTAATGCTCCCTCTCGTCAAGCAAATGCTCTTCGTTCTATTTGCAAAGATTTTGGATTTGAGGATGTATGGAGGAACCTCCACCCCGCTAACAAGGAATATACTTTCTTCTCAGCTCCCCATGGGTGTCAGACTAGGCTTGACTATTTTTTTCTACCTAAAGCTGACATGCATTCCATACTATCTTGTGACATTGGGAGTATAATTATATCCGACCATGCCGCCGTGGTTATGGACTTAAAGCTTAAGAATCCAATAAACCAGCCTAGGCAGTGGAGACTGGATAGTGTTATACTGAAAGACAACACCTTTATATCCTATTTTATAACTGAATTTAAAGTATTCCTGTCGATTAACCTACCATCAACGGACAATCCATCACTTTTGTGGGAAACCTGCAAAGCCTATGCAAGAGGCCTGATTATATCTTGTACATCCACTAAGAGGCGCCAAAAACGTAGAGAGCAAAATAACTTAGCAATTGAACTGACAGACAAGGAAAAAGCTTATATCAACTCACCATCACCCAATTTATGGGAAGAAATATCTGCCCTCAAATCAGCTATAAACTGTCTCCTTACTAA